CATTGTAAGGCCTGTGCACTACAGGGGCGTAACAACTTGTGAGCTGAGAACAGGAGAAAAGTATCTTTAGGCTTTGTTCGCCTTTTATTTGTTTGCCGAAGCAGGTGATATGTTTGAGTTTCTGTAGCCCAGTGTAGTTATTTGATGCTGGCAGTCAGCCTATTTTGGCCGGCCCGTTATACTGGGGAGTGCGGATTGACGGGTGTGCCCCACAGAGGACGTTCAGAGGAACAGCCTACTATTCAATCCTACTTAGTGAACTACTATACTAGAGCGTAGTCTTCTTTGTTAACGTGTACGAGCCTTAGAATAACACGAAATGGACAGAGGCCTCACACATTATCGGCTTCCTTGGCACGCAATCCTTCCATTGTTGCTTGTCTACCACATTGTGGACTCGGATCCCTACTGGAACTCACAGTTGGGTTTCCTCTGCGTTCGTCGTTTCAATGGTGGCACAAAAAGCAGAGCTGCGGACACTGTGTTGGTGCACCCACTGGTAATGGCGCGGTCTAGTTCGCAGGGCCCTGTGATCCATGGGTGTGGCCCCAAACTTCGTTTAGGCGGCCTGCTACAGGGAAGTTTCTCACAGCTGCGACCGTCGCCCGGCGTTGCGCCTAAGTAACGAGCTGCCTGAGTATTAATAATAAGGCGAGCATAATGTACACAGGAAATGGTAATCGTCTCTGAGAAGTGCTGTAGCGGCACAAAGTGCATGGTCAGTAGAGCATGAGGAAAGTGCGGCAGCCACCTTGTTGGCAATACCTTTGATATACAGACTATGGAATCGTAGTGCGTGTTCCAGCAAAGCCATCGAACGAACCTCTCATTATCGTAGAGTTAGTGTCGTTAATTCAAGGGCCATCCACAGAAACTATAACTCTTCATGCGATTTTTGAATATGGAAGTGCAGGTCGAGAGCCGGAAGAAACTCTTTCCCTGCTCCAACACGCATGGGGCGACTGCCACCAGCGGACAGTTGGAAACTGCGGAGGCATCCTTCATAAGTAGCTCTTGCTGTAATGTAATTTCCGGCTGGATAGGATACGAATAATGCCCCCGCTCCAGGGCAACGACGTCCCAGGTGGGGTCGCCTCCCCATCGTAAGGCGGATCCTGATCAACCTGCTATGCGAGAGGACAAAAGGCTGAATTCTAAGGAATGGGGCCGTAGCCTTAGCAGGGAACTGCAACGAGCTCTAGCAGAGTTGAAATAACACCGTCATGTGCTGTAATAGAGTCAAAATATTAAAGATAAGAGTTGCCCAATAAACAGGCGATAATTTCTTCCTCACTCTCCGAACGTCCTGGGCAGGATGGCACGGGCTGATGCGGAAAGGCAGCAGCGCTGCACGAGTAGCAGCACTTTCTGCCGTAACTCCTGCTGTACTGCATATCCTAATGCATGCCTAAGGCCCGTTTTGATGCATACACTAATGCTATCAAACAATACGCTTTTTTTCTCTAGTGCTGCGCATTGCAATACAGTTGCCGTATGGAATTTTATTGAAGTTCCGCACAGCAGAACGCGGTTTTTTCATTATTTTTGGCTACACATCTTACATATAAGTTTGGTTCAATCTACTAGCTTGGTTACCATACGGCACGAATAGTACGCACTCCAGTGAAGTCGTCACCGCGCTCCGAGTCGTGAAGAAGCAAAAACTCATACCACGGATCTTACGTGAACTATAGATTACATACCAACAGCATCGGGGGAAAGATAGAGGAATTCTCCTAAACTATTATACTTCTCATCTGTTTGCTTGAAGCCCCAGCAGACCTGTTCATCGTCTGTTGAACCCCACGGGCATACAAGAGCGAAACCATACATAACCATAGCGAATACCAAACGAGAGGCATTCANACATGTCACTACCTTTCACGGCTTCAAGCATCGTACCAATACTGACAGCGGTGGACGATACTCGCAAGACAGGGGTTGCACAAACTGATTCAATCAACGGGAATCCCCAACAACCCTTCGCGCAGAACGTTTATGTGGCTTAGGCAAAATGAAGTGAGGTACAGCGAGTCTGACTGCGTTAGAAGAGACTTCCTCGATGTAGCCCGCGGATTCCATCTTGCATAGCCACCCTGAGACACGACGGTCTTTGCGCGACGGACTCAGCAAAAAGTACGGAGCAAGGATGCAAGTTCCACTAAGGATTCTGAAGCTTTCGTTCTAGCGTTATATTAAGAAGTAACGGCTGACAGAAGCTATGTCTAGTACCTGGGTAGGTGGAGAGACGGAGGCGGAGAGAAGGCCTTGAGTCCCGCGCGTCCCCCACTGCAAGACCCCCAAAGAGTGAAAGGGCTGCTTCCTCCAGCGGACCCAACACAGCGTCTCGTCTTCAGTTTTTAAAGGTTTATCTTGTTCTTCCCTCTCCTTTCATGTGTTCCCTGGAGGTCTCGCAAAAAACGCTGGAGACCAGGGGGAAGCAACGACAGGCGACCGAGTGTGGTTCTGCTTTGGGAGCCTGTGCCCGTCCCACAGAAGCAGGCTCAATCCTGAAGCCACCGATAGGCATTATTTCTAAAATCATCAGGCGCACGTAAAATCCCCTGTAGGGGTCCAAAAGGGCCCCGCCTTCAGGGTATCCTTCCCCGCGCACCCCCCAGCCTTGGGGCACGCGTATATGTACTTGTACACAAGAAAGACACTCCCCAGCCTCCCTGGCCCGCCTTTCCGTCTCTCCTGATGTCGGTAGCTGCTCGTTTTCCCAACGGAGAATGCGGTTTAGGTGAGGAAGCGTTCCGGGGCGCGGGGGGTTGCCCGCTGGCTGGCGCAGCAACGGGTGCGCTGCCGCCGGGTATTGGGCCCAGCTCACTTCCTTCAGCGACAGATAGCGAAGCGGGATCCTACGCAGTGGGCTGCTTGCCTCTGTTATGTAGGCCTCCAGAGCCCGCCATGGGGCAGACAGCGGGGGAGAAGGCTGCCAGTGACCGCAGCTGCTCTACCACAACAGGAGCAGACGGGCCTCTTTCTGCTGATACTTGCAACTCTGTCTCTTCTGAATCTGCTTTCCTCTCGGCAGGGCAAGAGTGTGACGTGCCTCGTATGCCACTAGCCTTCACCACACCAACGGGGGGCAGCCTTTCCCCCCCAGAGCCCCCGCGGGAAATGGGGGGTGGCCTGTCCCCAGTCCCCTACCAGGATAGGGAAGCGCTCGAGGTGGCGACCCTCACGGCCCAGCTGAAGACTCTCGATATGCAAAGTGGCTGTGAACCGGCCACAGGCGAGGTAAAGCCTCTGGGGACGGAGGGGGGAGCCCTCCAGCTCTCCTCCCCGGTCCCTGCGACCGAGTTACACAGCCAAACAGTCTCGGAAAGGGGGGATGTAGAGGCAAAGTCCTGGGTCCCGACCCGGACTCAAGAAGGAACCGGTGGGGGAGCTTCTCCGGTCCCCGGGGGCCACCACATGCAGCAGGAGGGACCCCGAACTCGGCAAAGGTCGAACGCTTTCACCCCAACCTGCGGAGGTGGGAAGGCTCGTGCGGGAGACACAGAAGACCAGGTGTATCGGCTGGGCTTGTTGCTGCGTCAGCTGGGGAGGCTTGGGCGGGTGCGGTCATGTTGGGAGATCTGGCAGGAGATGATGAATACGGAAGGCAAGCGCTTCATTTCCCCCCACCCCACCCACTGAGGGGTCCTTCCTGCATGGTGTTGGTTCCATCCGGGCTTCTGTATTTCGCTCTATAGCGGTTGTTATCTTCTGTTTCCCTGAAGACGTTTATAGGGATGGGGGCCAGCTCTGCTGTTCGCGAGGGGTCCAGTTCGTGTCTCTGCTGCGAGTCTGCGGTTGACTCAGGTCTCAAGCCCAACGCCGTCTCCTACGGCTGCATCTTCGATGCTCTCGTGAGCAACGGTGCCATGGACTTGGCCTTGAAACTCTTGGCCGACATGAAAGCTTCTAACCAGCCCGTCCGGCCTAACACCGTCATGTACTCCACCCTCATCAAGGGTTGTGCACAAACAAAGCAGGCAAGTTCGCCATCCCCTAGTCCCCTGGAGCGAAGGGTAGAGGGACAGCGTCTTTAGCTTCTTGTGTCTCGATATTATTTATTCTGTATTTTGTACTCGCTTGGCCGCATCCAGTGTGTAGCTGGCCAGTCTGCACTGGCTAGGATGCGAACCCTAGAGCTATGGTATGCCGTATGAGGGACAGACAGTGGGTGAAGGTTGTATTTTTGCTATCGCTACTGTTGTTTCTTCAGCTAGACCAAGCCCTGAGTCTATTTGAAGAAATGGCTGCGCAGGGGGTGGAAATTAACACAGTTACCTACAACTCCCTCTTAGATGTGTGTGCCCGAGTGGGGGCAATGGACCGTGCAGCATCTTTGCTAGACGACATGCTTCAGAAAGGTAGGGCAGAGTGCCGAATTGCCGGTTGCCTCTGCATTTAATGCTCGCCACAACAAGCCCACTTATCAAGAGACCCTAAGGGAGTAGCTGGAGGCGCTAAGGGGCTGCGGCGGATGCCACAGATAGAGCCTACTGTTGGCTGCCGGATCTCTCGTGTGGGACGGTCACTGTCGTGTTCTACACGTACTTACTTGGTAGCGTTGTTAGTGCACGCACGCATGCATGCATGCATGCTTCTGTCCGTATATCTGGAGGTTGCAGTTAGGGGCTGTAGCTGCAGGTACTTCACGTTTTGCTGCTTTTTGTCGCCGCAGGCGTGCAGCCCGATCTGATCACGTTTAGCACTATCATAAAAGGCTACTGCGCCCACGGGCAGATGGACAAAGGCCTCCTCCTGCTCAAGGCAATGAAGCAGAAGAACATAAACCCTGACGGGGTCCTATATAACTCCCTTCTCGATGGATGCGTGCGCTCTGGTGTACGTCGTATCTCTGCATAACCACGGCACATGCGACTGCTTCGTTGGCATGCACTTTGCGCCCTTTGCTAGTTCTGCTTTTCCAGCGGGTCGTGTATACTGCATGTGTTTTGTTCTGGTTGTGAATGAACCTTGGCTCGTGCCGACTGTCTCTTTAGTGTTCCCTTTAGTTGCAGACTGTGACTTGTGGCTTTCCGATTTCTGACGTCTTTTCGCCTGGATGCAGCGCTCTTCTCTCTGTTTAGAGCTCTGGCAAGAGATGCAGGCCCAACGCATAAAGCCCTCAAATTTCACTCTGAGCATTCTAATTAAGTTGCACGGACGTATGCGGCAGCTGCCTGTTGCCTTCGAGCTGGTCAAGCAACTCCCCAAGATGTATGACTTCAGGATCAATGCCCACGTGTACACTTGCCTCATGGCCGCGTGCATAGAGAACAGACAGGTTCGTCTCTAACCGACCATGGTGCTCAAGCCTATTTACTGAATAACAAAACGCCGACCCCGCATCGAGAACAATGTTGCCCACAGTTTGCTAGCTCTCCCCCATTCGGGTGTAGGCTCGATATCTCACAAGCATCACGTTGCAGTACAGCCTATGTAATTCGAACGCCTGTCCNTGTTCAGTACAGGGCTGCGTACAACGTCTTGCAGATTATGCGCCGAGAAGGAGTAGCAGCTGATAGTAAGACTGTGAGCACCATTGTTTTCGGCTGTCTAAAGGGGCGGATGCACGCGCAAGCAGTGGAGGTCGTTTTGAACGTAAGTCATTGATCTTCCCAGATGCACTTCTACTTGCATCCTTCTGTGGCTTCGTGCATGCCCACGGCGTCTCGAATGCAATCTAGGCGCATGCAAATCTTGTTGTACCCTCTGTAGACATATTTTGTTCCAGATTGCACAGTAGAAGTTGCTGGTACTCCACGGGCATGGAGGACTTGGGGTTCAGGCCACTTTAGTGCATGACGTGAGTTGCCGTTCTCCGGTCCCGCAGGCTTTGGAGAGTGTCCGCGAGTCCAACTCGCGGGGGCCAGGCCGACATCTTTCCCGGGGCCGTCCTATGGGCGTTGGGACGAACCGCAAACAAGACTTGCCGGCGATAGACGAGAAGACTGTGCGCTTGCTAGTATATCACCTGCGGGAGCAGCACATGCATCGGGTGAGGCGCGCTAGAGCCAGGCTGGCCTAGGTGCAGTCGGGCATGCTCTCGTTCGTTTTGCCTGCTTCCAGGCCAACAAATATCATGGGGCATTCTACTCTTTGTGAGAAACGTGCGGGTGTTTTCGCAGGAATGCACGTTGGTGTTGGAAGCAGCAGTGAGTGTGGGCCTCATGAGTCGTGCCACAGCACAGTCTCTGCTCACAGGTGAAGGGAGCTCTGGGCGGAGGCTTCCCTTTGTTTCCTCCGCGGGCCCAGCGGGGGCCTTCGCGTCCCCCCAACCCCTTACCCACCAGCCACATCTACCCAACGCGCCGCCAGGTGGCGCGCGGCTCATGGGGATTCGTGGAGGCCCACACCAAGGCAACGCGCGCTGGCAGGAGCCTAGAGGGGTCCATCGCCATCCAACAGCTGGACTTCATGGGGGGACTCCCCACCGCAGTGTCAATAGCGGGGCAAAGGAAGGGTACTCACTCCCCGCCGAGGTCCATCTGAACTTGAGCACACCTCAGGAGAACCCCATGGCCTCCCCTGGCCAGCCTTGGTCCGTAGAGCGGTCGCCTCCCCAGCCGCCTCCCACAGCTACGGTGAGGAGGTCGCAAGCGATGAATTCGCTGCAGCCCGGAATTGAAGCCAAACAACGGCTTCTTTCGTTGCATCCGCAAGACCCTTTGACTCTCCGCGCCGCTGGTCTGCTGGGGGATCTGCCGACGCAGCATCTGCTGCAGCTTCCGATCAACGGAGGCATTCTGACTGGAGGGAATAACGTGGATTTGGCCCCTCCGAGTGGCCGGCCATTAAATCTGGGGAGTCCACCCTACATCGCTGAGGAAAGCGTTTCAACGCAAGGAGCTACCCTACACAGTAAGTGTCGATATCGCCTCAACCATATCAGCTTAGATTTGATCAGAGCACGAACCGGCAGCAACAGTTACAGCATGAAAAGGTCGTTGCACCTGCCTTTGTGTTACGGGTCTGCAGCTTCCGTCTCCATGGATTTGTATGGACCCGGGATGGTCAGCGAGTCTAGCTGTATCTGGGGCGCTCCGGCACCCGGGACAACACCACCATCTTCAACGGGCTGCGGTCTCTTTGCAATGCCATCGGCCGTAGCACATCCTCCACCGCGTACAGTGGAGCTGCCCATTGATAGCAACGTCCTCCTCGGGGTAGGTTGACTGTTGGCTACAGCTCGCATGCATAAGCGGTAGTTCACTGAATGCGACTAGGAGACACAAAGCCACGGGAAAGGTGTCGGGAGGCTAGGTTGACGCTTGCAAGCTACCGCCGTACGCTATGGGGAAAATGCTCACATTAGCAGAATGTGTACCCTGCATGTCGGTGCTCAGGCGGGAGGCTCATTTTTCAATGAAGAGAATTGCCAGCTTCCGGGGCTGCCTCTCTCTTCGCCTGCATACGCTTGTGAGGGCTCCCTACAGCCCTCGTGCACAACGGCTCCTTTGTTTCAGTAGGCCTGACGCGCGAGTGTTGTATGCAGCCTTGTTATCTTTACACTGTTCGCTTCTATGAAGCTGCAGTTGCGACCTACATTGTTAAATATCTCGGGTGTGTCTGGCGGCTGCGCCACTGGGCTTGTCCAGCTGGTCTAGGCAGCAAGGTGAAAGTACCTGGGGGGAGTAACCATCCTTTGTACGAAATGGTTCTCACTAGCCGTGTCCCCCTGGCATACCAGTGAGCTGATTGGGGGGCAGAGGGAAGCTTTTTGATTGTTGTTCCCCTGGCCATTTGTCGCGCCGGCAGAAGAACCTGGGCAAGGCATACTGACCGCACTGTGTTCGGTCCAGCATACCTATGTACCCCTCCTACGGCTTATCTATCCCACAAGCCCCTCCAGCGTGTTAGCTGCACCGTCTCCTCGTCTTCGTCACTCCAGTCAAAGGCGACAGACGGAGGTGTTTTTTGGTGCACTTAGGACTTCGTTAGTTCAGGCCTCTCAGCCAGGTCATCATCAAAGGGATGGCGCCGGCCAGCGAAGACAAGCAAGAGGCGGCCGACCCCCGTAGGCCCATCTGCAGTGTGAAGTTCATGCTGGACGAGACGAGCCAGTCTGCACTTCCCCATTATCGAAAGACCTCGCATGCGATCGTATCGTTCCAACTCCTCGTATCTTGGCTGGTGCCCGGAGTGCGTGAGATGAGACACGTGAGACTCCGGGGGCCTGCTGCAGCCGCTGCCAACGCAGTCATACCACAGAAGAGCGAGCGTTCCACGGCAGTAATATCCTTGTCCGTCGGAAGGCGCTTGCAGCATCCACAGACAGACAATGAGCTGGTTTGACGTTTCGTGATTCCTACGCGGAGACCAACCGTTGCGCTACCTATTTGGTAGCAATTGGCAGCGGGAGCTTGTGGTACTTCTGTGCCATGACTAACATGTTTGACAACACTTTCCCTAACGAGCAGACAATGTTTGACTTTCAGCACAACATTCAGGAGTTTTGTAGCTAGACAATCTAGAACAGCAGATGACTCTATTCGGAAGCCTATGTACGCATAAACTACCGCCGCAGGCGTTGCGTAAGCTTGCTAACGAAATGAAGAGCTTATACCAAAAAATACGGTGCTGGGAGGATGCAGCACTGCAGGAATGGTTGCTGCGTCCACTACTCTTNTGAGCAGGCGCCGTGTATGACAGCACGACATAATTGTAGCTGGGCGGCTTGGTGACCGTGGGGTAAACATAGACTAGAGTACACTGCCTAGGACACCTTTAGCATACAAACACAGCAAGTGCACGGGTACTCGCCGGTGGCGCGTTTAATGCACCAGCGTTAACTGACGCAGCTTCCAGCTCGAGGAGTTCGTCGGCTTCTCCTGACCTCTTCACGATTATATCCCCCAGAAGAAGCCCGCTATTGTGCTGGTGATGCCTCCGTCTGTCTCGCCGTCTTCGCTCGAGGAACTGTCACTCTGGTCATCAGCACCATCCACAGTAGAGAGTTTCAATGGGGGGACTTCGTTTCCCTTGGGGGCCTCCTCAACAGGGTCCGCGCCGACAATTAGTCCGAGAAGGGAGGGACGAGGCGCAGAGGGCGATGCTTCCTTTTCAGTGGCATCCTTTTTAGATGCATCATTTCCTTCGCTATTTCCGAAGAATCCGAATCCCCAAGAAGAGGTCGCATCGGCCGCTGCAGTAGTCTCATCGACATCGTTGTGCATGACACCACTTTCCACATCGGACTGTTCGGCGGACTTCTCACCGGATGCCTCAGCTTTCTTTTTCTTTTTCTTTTTCTTTTTTATGCCTTCAGAATCTTCCTTTGGTGACTTTCTTGGCTTAGATTCGCCGTCCGAATCCGCCGATGCCTTCTTGGTTTTTTTCTTTGAAACTTGGTCCGCAGAGGGTTCTCCCTCTTTCTCATCTCGTGCTTTTGAGTTCTCTTCGGATTTTTTCAGCTGCTCATCGGAAGGGCCTGTCGCCACCTTCTGTGCCGCCTTCGAACTGGCAGCTTCGTGCTCCTCCTCCCTGGCTTCGCCAACCCCCACTGCAGCCGTATCAGGGCGATCAGCCCTTGACGCTGGTGCGGGAGGTGGGAGCCCTGGCATTCGCTTTGCTATGCTGGAGGACCGCTTGACAGCTTTCGTAGCTGGAGAGGTTGCGTCTCCAGAAGAGGGTGGTTTGGGTTTTTCTTTTGCTGGCGTTGGAGCAGATCGCCCTGCCTTCATAGCCTCCAGCTCCTTCTGCAATGTCTCGAGCTCTTTCTTCAAGGCGCTGTTGTCGTCGAGAGCTTGCCGCNAGCCTCCAGCTCCTTCTGCAATGTCTCGAGCTCTTTCTTCAAGGCGCTGTTGTCGTCGAGAGCTTGCCGCTTTTCCTTCTCTAGCGCTTCTAACCTGGCTTTTAAGGTCTTGACTTCCTCAGTCTTTTCCCTTATTAGGGCCTCCTTATCCGATGCATCTTTCGTAACCTTCTCTAGCTCTGCAGTTTTGGCCTGAAGCTCTTGTTCCTTTTTCGCCAACTCCGCTGCTACAGAGCTTTCGCCAGACACAGGGACGGCACTTGCCTTGAGCTTGAGGATCTCGGCCTTGTATTTTTCTATTTGAGCATCTTTTTGTTTGACTTGCTGCTGGAGCTCCGTAAGAGACTTGCGCTCTGCCTCCGAGTCTTCTCCCCGGACAGGGCCCGGGTGCGTTGCAGAGGGGTCCTTTGCACTCAACGCTTCAGATCCTGCTCCTTTCGATACAGTATGAGGAGACAGATGCTGAGAGGGTCTTCCCTGAGATTGCTCAGTTGTGGCCTCGCCCCCAGCCGCGCTATCGCCACGTGGAGACCCTGTGGGTGACGTACGCATCTGCGCCAGTTTGCTGCTCAGGGCTTCGTTCTCCGNTCGCCACGTGGAGACCCTGTGGGTGACGTACGCATCTGCGCCAGTTTGCTGCTCAGGGCTTCGTTCTCCGCCAGAGCCTTCTGCAGTCTCTGCTGCAACAGTTCCAGTCTCGCCCGCAGCTTCTGCTCCTCCGGAGGCTTCTCATCGTGCGCGCCACCACCCAACCATGAGAGTATACCTGCGGATTCGGCTCCTTCACGCTGTTTAGGGGGTCTGGTGACGATCTCGAGTTCTTCCTTCGTTTCCTGATAAAGGCGTTCAACTCTCTCTAGCCTTTCCTTTGTGATCGCTTCTTCCTCCTCTAGGCTCGTGATGCGCTCCTTCTGGGCCTTGTACGCCTGGTATACTTTGTCCCGCTGTGCCTTGACCTTTTCATACTTCTCAGCCCAGTCGGCAGGAGGCTGGACATCCAACAGAGCTGAAGAGCTTTGAGTCGTAAGGCTCCTGTTCATTGTGGCCACGCCCTCGGGGTCATCTGCTACAGTTGAAGCAACTGCAGAAGCAGAGAGAGCTGCAGCAGAGGCCGACTTGAGCATGCTGTCAGCCTCTGCTTTGTCTGCTCCAGCCACCGCTAACTTATCTTTGGCTTCTTTCTCGTGTAGTTTGCTGATTGCCTCATGCTTAGCTTGAAGGGACTCAAGCTGGCTGCGAAGAGCGTCGCGCTCCTTCTCCAGTTCCACAAGGGCATTGCACTTTATCACAAGGTTCCGCACTCGACGTTTGGCCCGTTGTAACCGCTCCGTCAGCTCGGCCACACGTTCTTCCGCCGGAGAAGATTCCGCCCCAGAGTCCCCTACTTCTGTTTCTGCGTCGGACTTGGACAGAACCTCCTCAGTCAGAAGGCTTGCCTTGTCTGGAGGGCCCTCCCCAGCTGCTCCCTTCANTCTTTCGCTACCTCCACACCGGTAGAGCTCAGACGGCTTTCATCTTTTCTTTCTCCGGCCCTTCCTGATGTCTGTGCATAAGCCTTTGCATCAGCCTGCTTAGGCGCTTTAGCGGGCAATGGAGACTTTCCGGGCCTTAATTTCGGAGGCAGGGTTCCCTTCGTTTTGGGGATGGCTACCCCGTGAGCTTCTGATGCTCTAAGGTTTGACAGTTCGGCCTCAAGCGCAGCCACGCGTTCCCTCAGAGTGTTTCTTTCTTTGCGCAGAAGTTCGGTCTCCTGCGGCTGCGGCTCTGCAGGTTCACCCGTCTCGACCTTTTCCTCACTCTCACTGGCCTTCGCTTGAGCTTTCAAAGACTTGAGCTCACCCTGGAGTGCAATGAATTCCCTCTGAAGAGCCTCGTGGGTCGTTTTTAACTCTTCCGCTGCAGCTAGCTGCTCCCGCAGAGATGCTATTTCCTTCTCAAGATTACCTTTCACCTCCGAAGTCAACTCAACTAAATCGCCGGACGGAGCTTCCACCGGTGGAGCCTTCTTCGGAGGCGGAGGAACTTTGGTATCTTTTTCCGCAGGCTTGTGTGGGGGCGGAGGCGGCTTCTTGGCACTCTTCGGTAACGTCTTATATGAGCCCCCCGCTTCCTCACCCTTCTGGCCTGTATGAGGTTCCTCGCCTGCTTTGAGGGACGGCGCCGTCTTCCCTACAGAAGGCTCCAGCTTTTTTGGTGGCAAGCCTTCGCTACCAGTAGCAGGTTCCGTTGCCCGTGGTTCTTGAGCATCTACTGCCTTTGCAGCGACGGGAGGCAATAAGCCTACAACGGTCTCCTCTGGTGATGTCTCGTCTCCCTTTTCGCCAGCCGGGAATTCCGCAGCAGCAGGCTCCGCAGAAGCAGCATGTTCTCGCTTCGGCAGTGGAGGCAGAGGCTTCTTAGCTGGCAGTGCTCCCCCTGAACCTCTTTGGGCTGGGGCCTCTTTTCCTGTCGGATGCACTGTATCGCCTTGCATTGTTGTTCCAGAAGCGGCAGCCATATTCTTCTCCAGGGCGCGGACCCTCTCTCTAAGTTCGTCGCGTTCTCTCAACAAAGCCTGCAGCTCTCCATCCGCCAGTGATTGCCCCTTACCAGCTGCCTTTGTATCTACGGGCTTTACTGGTTGCCCTGATTTGCTCTGCAGCTCTTTGAGCTGCTCTTTCAGCGCGTTTGTCTCCTTCTTGAGAGCTTCATGCGCTGCCCGCAGCTCCTCGCTAGCAGAAAGCTGTTCCTGCAACCGTCTAACGTCCTTCTCAAGCGCTTCTGCAGCTTCCGCTTTTGGCCTCAGGACGCTCAGCTGGGCTTCTAGCTCTGCGGTGGCCTTCAGCTGGTTCGCCTCCGACAAAGCCATTTCAGGCTTCACTACGGACTTGTCCCCAGCAACAGGAGGCTCTGGTAATCCCTTCAGGGCTCCAGCTGCGTCGAGCTTTGCCTGCAAGCTCTCGTTCTCTTTC